AATGGAGGAGAAGGGATTGTGGCGTGGCCATCCCCCCGGGGGGTGATTTCTCGCTTTCTATCTCTCTGTCTCCCTCTGTCTTTCTGGCAAGCATACGCGCCCTATAGCAAAAACCTCTCCAAACAAAACAAAACAAAACAAAGACTATATTTAGGGGCCAGCAGGTGGTGTGGTGGTTAAAGGCACTGGACTTCCACATGGCCCACTGTGGTTCGAGTCCTGGACCTGGTGGCTTGGTTTCTCACTTTCCTTCTCTCTCGCTCTTGCTCTTGCTCTTGCTCTGTCCCTCTCTGGTCAAATTAAAAAAATAATAATAATAATAAATAAAGCTAAATAAAATAATTAAGAAAAATAGCAATGTGGGAATCAGCAGTTAGCGTAATGGCTATGTCGCTGGACTCCCACGTAGTTGACCGCGGTTCGCGTCCCAGACCCAGTGGCTTAAAACTCACGCTGGGCGCGTGTGCGTGTGTGCCCAAGATCCCGAGAGGAGAATGGAGGAGAAGGGATTGTGGTGTGACCATCCCCCCTGGAGGGTGATTTCTCACTTTCTGTCTCTCTGTCTGTCTGGCGAGTGCACGCCCCCTATAGCAAAAAAACCTCTCCAAAAAAAGAAAAATAGCAGTGTGCTAGGCCCTGTTCTAGACAGGCTTACAGTACTGAAGCGGGAAGTGGTTCCTGCCCTCTGGGAGCCAGCATCCAAATCAGAGAAATGGATTGATCAGAAACGAACAAGTGGTCAGTACTGAACAGACTGAAGCAGAGTGTTCTGGCAGCAAAGACGCATGGAGGGAAGCAGACCTTGTTCTGGGGGTGCAGACCTCTCTGTGATGTGACATTTGAGCCAGGCTGCCATGCAGAAGCCAGACCCATGAAACCTGAGCGAGGCAATGCGAGTGCAAATGCCCTGAGGTGGCAGCGAGCTGGGCAGACGTGCAGAACGGGAAGTTCGGTTCAGCAAACTGTGTGTGGGTTGCAGTGCGTGGGTGAACGAGGAAGTGCGCTGGAAAATGGAAGGGCTGTCTAAAGCCATACCCGTTGGTGGGGCCCGCAGGTGGCATGGTGGTTAAAGGTGCTGGATCTCACGTGGCCAACCACACAGTTCCAGTCCCGGACCTGGCCGCTTGCTTTCTTGCTTTCCCTTTCTCTCTCTCTGGTCTAATTAAAAAATAATAATAACAAATGGAATTAAATAAATAATTACAAAACATAAAAGGAAAAGCTTACCGTTGTCTTTGCTGATGGTCATGTCGCATACATTCCAGGACCTCTGGTGACACTGAACAAGCCCCTGGGTCTACCCGTGACAGGTACGGGCAAGGGGCAGGGAATGGAAACGCAGTGAAAGGGACTTGATGTGTCTGAGGGAGGGATGAGTGAAAAGGAGAGGAGAGGGGATGGCAGGAGGACGCTCTGGCCTTTGGGAGCAACGGGTACTTTTCCTTACTTTCCAGGAAAGCCAGGGGAGCTGACGCTGCTGTCCGTGCTGCCAGAGCTGAGCCGGGCCCTGGGGCTTGAGGAGAAGGAGCTCCAGGTGGTCCGAGCACCCGAGAAGTAAGTGGTGGGCGGCAGGAAGGTGGGAGAACAGCCGTCCATCTGGGGTAGGTGACGAGCTGCTTGGGAATAGGCTGAGACGTTCCCACAGAAGGGTCACAGCGTAGGACACGAGGACCACACAACGGAGAAGGGCCGACCTGGTGGGTGGCGCAGGGTGATGCGCTGTTCTAGCTGGGCTGGATCCGTGGGCCAGATCGTGGGTTCGGTTCTAGGGAGACCGGTACACGTTGAGCAACTGCACCGTGATGCTGGCTGGCTGGGAAGGCGCGGGGATTGCAGTGCGGATCCCCGTTCTGGGGTCCTTTCTCTCTCTCTCATCTCACTCTCATGAAAAAACCTTGGGACCAGCAGTTGAGGTAATGGCTATGTCGCTGGACTCCCACGTAGTTGACTGCGGTTCGCGTCCCAGACCTGGTGGCTTAAAACTCACGCCGGGCACGTGTACATGCGTGCCCAAGATCCTGAGAGGAGAACAGAGGAGAAGGGATTACAGCATGGCAATCCCCCCAGGGGGTGATTTCTCTCTTTCTGTCTCTCTGTCTCTCTCTGTCTGGCGAGCGCATGGGCCCTATAGCAAAAAAACTCTCCAAAAAAACAAAACAAAACTCATGTCAGGTGCATGTGCATGCATACCCAAAATCCCGAGAGGAGAACGGAGAAGGGACTGTAGCATGACCATCTCCCCTGGGGGATGATTTCTTGCTTTCTGTCTCTCTGTCTCTCTGGCGAGCACATGTACCCTATATTTTTTTGAGATTTTTGCTATAGGGTGTGTTTGCTTGCTGGCCGTGTGTGCATTTGTGCCTAAAATTGTGAGAGAAGGAATTGTGGCATGGGCACACACACACACACCCACCCCAGGGATGATTTCTCTGTATCTCTCTGTCTTTCTCCCCTCCAGAGAGCACACACACCCTATGACCAAAACCTGGGTGGGGGGGGGAGAGCTAATATATATAAAATTCCTAGTAAGGTGCCTGACCCCTGTGTAGACACTCAGCAATGAGTGGTAATTGTTATGGCTCTGAGCTCCCTGGGGGCCAGGGCAAAATGAAAAACACATTAAGGTGGATAGTCTTACACCCAGACAAGATGGAACCTTATTTCTCAGAAGGAGGTCTGGGTTATAGTCTTGACCCTAAGCAGGTTGGTGTTTCTTCCAAGCAAGGTTTCCTTATTTGTGAGTGAACCCAAGAGACTTTAACTTGTGTAATTTGTCCCCTTCCTCCAGGGAGGCTTCTGGGCTTGTACTTCTCTCCAGTTGTCCCCAGACAGCAAGCCGCCTCCAGAAATTCTTCATCCACTCACGGAGAGCCCAGAGACCCACAGCCACCTACTGGTAAGAGGTGCTGGGAGGCTCCTGAGGCTGTGGGGAGCTCCCAGCAAGCCAGTCTGTGACCTCCTCCTGGCTCTTTCTCAGTGCCGTCACCAACGGGATCCCAGACACTTCTGAGGGGACAATCCAGGCTGCTCTGAAAGTGGAACCCGTCGATGGGGTCAATCTTGTGAGTCAGGGTCTGGGCAGGGAAGCGGAGGGGTTCTTCCAGATACATAACCCTGTAGAAGAGTCAGGGTTGTGGACTTGAGGCATCTCACTCTCCTGTCCCCTCAAACAGGCGAGTGGCCACTACCTGTACGGTGGCCCTGTCCTGAATCTGTGGGGAGCAGGGAGGGTCTGCGTGTGTGCGAAGCTTGTTCGTCCCTGACTGGCATTACAGGTGGTGCCAGTGCAGCACCCATCCCGAAAGGACAACCTGGAAGGTGTCAAGAGGACCCTCAGCCACTTCCGTGTGGTGGCCACAGGCTCCGGGC